AGTATTTACTCGTTTCTGTCACTCATTTATCCATGTGGTATTTTGCCTGCTTTAGTAAATTAGCAAGAAGTGTGAGCATCGAGAAGACTTCGGAATTGCGTTGTTTGGGTGACATCTCGTGGCTGTTGACGAGATGTGCTTACCCCATTGTCCGCTTGCAGGCCACACTGCTTCATATTGGTTAACCTCTCGCCACTGACGTTACTGATGTTTGGTAGATTGCGTTAAGTGGGTGCACATGTCACAAATGTGTGACGTGTGCTGGATATGAGTTGGTGTTTTGGCAAAGCATGTTGCAGGGTGATGTGTTGGGATGTGGGATCTTGTCAATGGGAGGAGTTTTGGATTTGATGGAAAGACAGCAATGAATGGTGTCAGAGGTGATAAGCATCTGAATTGTGGCAGTGAATTTGGCTCTGACACTTCCTGCTACTAATGGTTGTCACGGGGTGGGCAATATTGCACATCTACCACACATAGATTGTCACTTGCGCATTGGTGGCATTTGCGTTTCCAGTGCATCTAGTCGAATGTTGTGTGCAAAAGGAGATGGCTGTGAATGAATCGGGTTTGGATTTGGTTGCACTTGCTTTGTTGTTTCGGCTGCCCCATTTGCTGCTGTTCGGGAACGTGAATGCAATTTCTTGGGGCATGAGAAGGCATTGCGTTTGTTAGGAATTTTGGATCAAGATAGGTGCACTGGCCGTCATTTTCTTGTACTGGCTGTGATGGAGGACTTGAAGATGGGGTGGGGCTGGCCTTCTGAGAGAGCTGGTCCGATTTAGTCATTTACGGTAGGCACTACTTTGCTTTTGTCATCGATCTCTCCTACTGGAACTTTATGGATTCCCTGAAGCCTTAATGGAAGCAGTGAGTGATCGGTATTCGTCGACTTATTGTACAGCGCTGTCACGAATGTATTGACTGGGTTCCTGCTTGAAGCCATTGTCAATTTGGAGAGCAGATGTAATGTTGGCGTTGGGAAGGAGTGGTGACCTGGTTGCAGAACTGCATACTTGCATTTGTATGTCAACACATCACTGTCGAGTGCTTCTTTTATACACGCAGGAAATGCGTGGTGTTTGCGAGGTAGGATGTATGGGTTGTGTGGTGACAGAGGAGGAGATTGCAGCCTCGAGAGAGGTGGGAAATGATGATGATGAGGAGACGTCTGCGCCTAAAAGCAGATTTGCCTTCATTGCTGTGTGGTGAAGGACACAAGGATGATGGAAGCAACAGGGAGATGTCTTCGTCACCAAGAAACATTCTCATGGCGGCAATCGACATCTACATAGAGCCCTCCTAAAAGGTGCGGGCGATTAAAGTGTTGAGTGCGGCGACAGATAGAACCCTGAGGGACATTACCAACCTCAACCCGATATACTGATGAGTATTCTTTTAGCACGTGGTATTTGTGCCCTTACTTCTGCTTTATGAGTTGCTGTGGGTTTATTCCTGGAGGAAGTGCATTGGCATTCGTTAATGCTAGACAACATTTGCTGCTCTGCCTAAGTCCTAGTGGCTGCTTGAACCCGAAGTAAGTGGTGCGATTGTGTCGCATGTCTTGGTCATCGTGTAAGGATGTCTACTGAGAAATTGCCTAGTAGATGAGATGTTGCTACTTTTCGTGCGCAGGACTGAGTGCCTCGTTGGTGCGGCTCTGTGGGACTTGGATGGTGTGTTGATTTTACACACACTTAAGTCAGCACTGAGTATTATATCTCTACGAACCATTTGGGTGCGATTGGTGGGTCTCGTGCTACTGTGCAAATCAACAAATCTGTATTGACTGGTGCTTGAAGAGCACTGTCTCATGTTCAGCTCTGTTATTAACCAGACTGTATTACGAAGGTAGAGCATTAAATGGCGTCTCCTCACCCCACAATAACGGCATTTGCTTGTCTTCCTGCGATTGCCCTAAACCCGAAATGTGTATCCTGATCGCTGAGGCAGTTTCTCGTTGTGGTTTAGGTAGTTGCCCTACTAGAATGGGAATTGAATATTGTCGGTGCGGATGTAAAATAGGTTAGTTACTGGTACAAAATGTCATGGAATGCAGGTCATGTGGGTTAGTTCAGAAGTCTGTTTCAGAGATCCTCGTAAGTATCAACTGTAATTAGCACCGCGCTCTGCTTTAACAACTCCTTCTTGCATTGCGTGAAGTGAAATTGGTTGTCTGCCAAGTTGAGGATTGAGCGCTCTTCCCGTAGTCTGCGTGATTGTCAACCTTGATTAAAACGTCGCCTTTGCATTTGCTGAGATGCAGTACAAGTAGTGTGGGTATGCGCCAAATTACGGCTGTTTATATTACCAAGTTACTTAAAAATTGCACCCTACTTACAATGTATTAGGGACACGTCTCCTATTTCTGCTACCACGGTCAGACATGTAGCTGGAACTTCACACAATTGCTGCGTTGACAGTATAATTGGCAGTGCATAGCATAGGTTTCTACTTACAAACATCCCAAGCATTGCATTCAGCCCTTTCTGTGTTATTGGCGAAGTGAAGTATGCCTACGCACACCGCCTCTAGCCGGCTCATGTCATTCACCACTGAAGCGGAGGTAAGTGGACAAATGCAGGGAGGAGGAATTACGTGGAGCCATAAAACCACCACAGCTACAGCATAAAGAGGAAAATGAAGAACGAGGAAATGAGGGAGAAGACATCAGAGGAGCGTCGAGAAAGTACGTGTGCGATGTGTGTGGAGGCAATCAAGTGGACGGACACCGGAAAACAGCCCATGAAGGAGGACTACGAGCAAATGCACAAAAGTTTGAGAACGTGTGCAGCCTTAGCAGTACAGCGAGGAGACTCGGTTTGTGAGGGTGGAGACATGATTTGAGAAATGGACAAATAAGCACATAAAATTACTTACCCTTCAATCAAACCTGCGAAACAGGCAATTATGAAATTCTAGATGTGCCTATCCAACACTCACCTCAACCACTTGTGGACTGCAACTGGTTTTGCGTTTCTGCGACTGCCCAGAATGGAGCACATTGAAGCCTTCATGCAGCCATCTGTCTACTCACCGTCCCAACACCCTTCTGCTTTCATTTATCCATGACCTAACACCAGCTCACGGAGATTGTTATGACACACCAGCCATTACTGCACTTTGTGTCTTCCTAAGTGACCTCCTCAGAAATGTCAACAACGGACCTTGTCACCGCAACATAATGTGGCTCTCAACATCATAAACAATCTCTTGAATACACAAAGGCAATCCTTCTAGAATACATGTGATTTCGGTCACTCAATTTGTCACTTTATATAGTTTAGCATTCCATGGAGGAAGGGAAATGTGTCACCGAGTGAGGTCTACATTGTCCCTCTCCCTCCCTCCTTTTCTAATTTCCTATCTGCTTATCCTGACAGCAGCTATGAGCCTACAATGAAGTAAGCTGTCATAGGACGGAAAACGCAAGCCAGTGTGCATTTATTTTATTATTATCCACCTTCAGTGCATGCGAGATTAGAACTGCAACACTGTTTGAGGCTTCATTTGCAAGTTCAGACTGCAGAAACTTACTTATTCCACTAGACCAAAAAAATGAGAAAGTGCAAAGAACAATTGAAAACCTCTTCTAATCTGGTGGTAAAATCAGATGAAGAGGTGCGCGTGCTTCGATGGTGTCACGTCTCAGCCAATGCTGGTGTTTAAACAACCACCACCACGCCCTACGTGGTTGGCACTGATCAGAGCACAATGAGAAGAGCCACAGTCATACAGGCGAAGAAAGTGTGACTAGGCGGCTCGCACAAATGGAATGCTCTTTCACACAAAGCAATTACCACACGTTGTTTTCGAAGGCGCCACCGTCACACCCAGATCGGGTGGAGCCACTCAAGGCATGATGAAAGGTGAGAGTGGGTACCTGAGGAGTGGCGTGTTGAATGTCTAAACTGAAACAGATTAAAATTTTGATGTGGTTCTTTGGACCTGACCCATGGCTGATTGTTATTCGTTTTGCTCTTCGGTGGCTACACACAAGCATTCATTAATGCTTCAATGTGTCCTCTTTGCGTTTCATTTACCATCCCCATCCACCAAAACGCAGTCCTTTATTAATTCATTCATTCCTTACCTGGCTGCAGCCCACATAGAATCCATGGAGCACTCTGATTTGCATCACATTTGCCTGTACGAGCATCTTGGGATATTCAACAATGTGCATTGTCACAACGTTGTTGTGTGGCTCACTCCATTCTAAGCGACCTTCTCACTGCATACAAACAATCGTTTCAAAATACATGTGATTTCAGCTATTCACGTTGACGATCTAAGCGGTTCCTCACTGCATGGGCGAATAGCCAGTGCGTCATAGGCCTCAATATTAATGTTGGGGATAGGTTGCGAGATGGCCGCAACAAGGTAGACCAATTGGAAGTTCACGCCACTCTGAACGATCCATGAGTTGCCAGTACCGCATTTCCATGGTATCATTAGCAATTTGCATCAGCCCAAGCAAGCGAGCAGAAACTGGTGCCAATTGAGTCTTTTGCCGTGTCATGCACGCAACAATGACGGTAAGTGTGACCTTAAACTAAGTCGGGCTGAACTTACTACGAAATGGGCAGGTGGAGGTAGTAGGCCTAGTCAGCGGTGCCAGTCTACCTGTGCGAACCTCACTCCTTGAGAAATGCACGGAATGTAAACAGGTGGATGGCGACTAGTTGGTAACTACTGGTAGTGGTAGTGTGGGATTTGAGGGTAGACACAGAGGTGTGTGGATTTGGGAAATGCATTTCCAGTTTGGTTTAGTCCTCTGCTTGCCCGTCAA